AGTTGCTTCTCCTGTCTAGAGTGAAAAAGAAAGAAAAACCCCCAAACCCTCTTTAGATGTTACTTCCCTTTTAGCTTCAACTACATTTCTCTTTTTTATTTTACAGCAGAATTCTTTTTTAAAAAACGTCCATGTTCACTGACTCCACTTTCTCTTTTTTCACTGTCTCTTGAACACAATGCAGTCAGGCTCCACCACTCCACCAAAGCTGCTCTTTCTAAGGTCACCACTGTTTTCCAGTGGCCATTTCTCATCTTACAAGAAGTAAAAGAATAAATAAATGGTCAAAGCAGCAGTCAGGTGGGAAAGCTTGTTGAGCAAACAAAAACTAACAGCTACCATAGTTTACTACTGTTAGGAGAAATCTATATAGTAGGTAGTGTGGGGTTGGTGAAAAAGATATAGAAGTAGGTAGTAAATTTTAGAGATACTTCATAGGTAACCAATGCCACCAATGTCACCACTTTCTCATGGATCTTTCTCAGATATTCTGTAGTATACAAGTGTATTTATCAACCCACTCTCAGTTTTTTTAAGTATTCACAAACCACAGAAAAGTTAAAAAAGATCAGTACAGTGTTAACCTGTATTTCCCTTATCTAGACTTACCAACTGTTAACATCCTGCCATGCTCACTCTTTCTGTCAGTATTACCCACACTTCTCTCTTCTCTCATTATCTGAAAGCAGGCTGCAAATAATATGAAACTCCTAAACACTTCACTGTGTATCTCCTAAGAACAAGGAAATATGTATTTTTAAAAAGCATGAATTCATGCTAATACCCACAGTTCCAAGCCAGTACCACAGAGTCCTTTCTCACCTTCTTGCATTATATACTTTTATTTCTCTTTTCCTACTGTGTAAATCCTGATTCCCAATAACATCCTATGTTTTTATGGGCTCACTTTAGCTGCTCTATTGAAAATATACTGAAAGAGGGTCAAGGGCAGAAGCAGAGAGACCATTTGGCGGCTACTGCCTCAATCCAAGTGATTTATGATGAGAGCAGTGGAGATAATGGAAGTGGTTGACTGTGGATGTATACACATACACATATGCATATGTATATACCCATGTGTATATATATATGTATATTTCTTTAAATAAATTTCTTAATTTTCTTAATTTTATTTTTGGCAGTGTTCGGTCTCTTCTGCGCACGGGCTTTTCTCTAGTTGTGGTGAGCGTGGGCTTCTCATTGCGGTGACTTCTCTTGTTGGGAAGCACAGGCTCTAGGCGCACGGGCTTCAGTAGTTGTGGCACATGGGCTCAGTAGTCGTGGCTCGCGGGCTCTAGAGCGCAGGCTCAGTAGTTGTGGCACACGGGCTTAGTTGCTTCGCGGCATGTGAGATCTTCCCGGACCAGGGCTCGAACCCGTGTCCTCTGCATTGGCAGGCAGATTCTTAACCACTGCACCACCAGGGAAGCTCCCCATGTATATTGTTTATTCAAAATTTAAGTTTTGGAATAGTTTCAAACCTACAGAAAAGTTATAAGAACTGTGCAAAGAACTGTTGCATGCCTGTCAGATTCCCTGAGTGTTAAATTTTACTGCATTTGCCCCATTTCTCCTTCTTTAGAGAGAGAAAAAGAGAGTGAAATGTGTTGTTAACTCATTACCCTTAAATACTGCAATGTGTATCCCCTCCTCCCCCAAACAAGGTTACTGTCCTATATCACTGCCATACACTCCTTGCAGTCAGGAAATGAACATTGATACAGCGTTACTATCCAATTCACAGATACCATTCATATTTTACTATATGTCTTAATAATGGCTCTTTTTCCTTTCTAGTCTGGGACCCTACCTGCAAACACACATTACTTTTACTTTTCATGTCTCCTTAGAGTTTTTCAACCTGGGATGGTTGCTTGGTCTTTTCCTGTTTCTTGTATTCTTGACAGTCTTAAAGAGTACAGGTCTTTTGTTCTGTAAGATGACTCTAAACCTAAGTCTATATACTGTTTCCTCATGACCAGAATCAGGCCATGAGTCCGTGACAGGAATGCTAGAGAAATGATAGAGGCACACTATGTTGACCTGTTCCAAGGTGATGTTCACCTTGATCAGATTGTCAAGTTAGTATCTGCTGGATTTCTCCACTGTAAAGTCACTATTTCCCCTTTTACATTTGATTCGTATTGGGCTGGCCAAAAAGTTCCTTCGGGTTTTTTTGTAACATCTTATGGAAAAACCTGAACCAACTTTTTGGCTAACCCAGTATTTTGGGGGAGATAATCTGAATGCCACCAATGTCCCATTCCTTACTAAACCTTCACTCACCAGCCCTGGCCTCCATTGATAACTCCAGCTTATATCGAGTACCACTCTAATGCCAAATGGTGATTCTCTCTTAACATTCTCTGTACATTTATTAATTGACATTATACTGTAAGAAAAAGCTTTCTCTGTTTCTTTGTTTATTTCTTTATGAGCTCACTAATTCCTGTTTGATTCAGTGGGTTGTAATCTGGCTTTATTTTGATGCTCAGATTTTCTGAGAATTGACCAGTAAGAGTCCATTCATATCAGCTCCTTTGTTCTTTTGATATGTTTCCGTCATTCTCTGAGGATTTCCTTGTTTTCTGGCACAACAAGATTTTCCCAGGCCTATTTTGCACTTTCTCTGCCTAAGCCCTGGAATCAGCTCTTTCTCTAAGGAGCCCTTTAGTGGACTTCCGTTTAGTAGAGGATGGTATTCAGTATCCAAGGTCTGGAAACATACGATTTTTCAGTGCTGGTGGGATGTCTTCGTTTCTAGGACCTGTTAGCAGACAGAACTAGGACATACATGTATGTATATGTGTACACACATATACAAACATCTATAATTCTTTCTGTGTATGAATATTTTAAGAAAATGTGTTCGTATTAATACTTCTAATTCCAGTGCAACATCTTAGGGTTCTTTTATTCTCTTCCCTTTTCACGTTTCTAAATCCTTTCTCAGAAAGTGAGAAACCTAGCTCTAATATATTTTATCATTTGCTCCATCAATTAACACATTTGTTCGGTACTATCACTCTCCTAACCACTCAGGCTGCTTCTTACATCTGCCACTCTGTTCCTCCTCCCACTGCTCCATTTTTTTGGCATCTGAGGCATGCTGCCACCTCCACAAGGCACCTCCCCTCCTGTATCATCCTATTTCCTTGGGTACCAGGCACATTGCCACAGAGGATGACACACACAACCCCACCACCCTCCTTGCTCTGCTGACATCTCTGTTGGGAAGAGTAGGGAAGGGAAGGAAGAATGGAAAGGAAAGGTAAGATGCCACATTACCAATACATACTTTGAAGACAGAGCTGACAGGATTTACTGGTAGATTGAATACAGAGAGTGAGGAAGTAAGCAATGACTCCTAAGGCTTTTGACCTGAGCTCCTGGGATAATTGAATTGTCATTAACTGAGATGAGGACGAACCAGTAGGAGGTTCGGTGAGGGATGATTTGAAGCTCAGTTTTGGATGTGTTAAGATTGAGATGCCTTTTAGATATCCAAGAGGAGAGGTAGAGTACTCACTGTGTACATGCGTCTTGAGGTATGGACTGGAGATGTATATTTAGGAATCCTTGGCATATAGATGCTATTTAAAGCCATGAGCTCAGCTGAGATCACAAAGGGAGTAGAATAGATAGAAAAGTTTGCACTAAGCCCAGGGACAATTTCATGTTAAGAAGATGAAGAATAACCAGTAAGGTGCCCAGGGACAATTTCATGTTAAGAAGATGAAGAATAACCAGTAAGGTAGGGCCAACCAGTAGGGTGGGAGGAAAACCAGGTGAGTATGGTAATTTGGAAGCCAAGTGAAGAAAATGCTTCAATTAATATGAAAAGATCAACTGTTTCAAATGCTGTTGAGAGTAAGATGAGGACCATGAATTTACCATTGAATTTAGCAGAGGAGAAATCATTGGTGACATAATACCTGATGTGTATGTGTGTGTATGTGTTGGTGGGGGAAGCTTGGTTTGAATAGGTTCAAGAAGGAAAGGGAGGAGAGAAATGAGAGGCAGCAGATAAAGAACTCTTTCAAGTTTTCGCCTGTGTATAAGGTACATAGCCACAGTCATCTATTTATATGGGTTTTTTGTTTTGTTTTGCTCTGCAGCTGAGTTTAAGGTAGTCCTTTTCTGAGAGTTATATGAATAACCTTTCATTATCACTACACACAAAAAATGTGCTATGTACTATTTTGTTTTAGGCTGGTGAAATGTTTCTACCATTGGCCAAGTAGGTGAGAGACTTGCAGTGTAGTTCTTATATATGTGAAGTAGGGAAATCACCAGAGCAAATTTCAGTGGCATGTTAGTAGGGAGTACAAAGGCAGACTTAGATTGGGAAACTCTTCAAAGTGCTTGAAGTTCTGAAATGTTAAAGAAAATAAAGGCACATTACAGATTATACAGTAATCAGTCTTCTTTGGCCTTATCAGCACCTTGACCTGTGTTCATATATTTCTCAGTTTATAAGGAAATCTTATTAGGAATTTGGAACATAGTTAGATTTGTTGAAATAAATGAAATGGTTTAGATGAGTGAATTCCTTGTTGTTTGGATAGAAAATTGGTTGTACCTCTAACTTAAGGCAAGGATGGCAAATACCTGGTACATGTGTTGCCATATTCCTCTCCTGTCATCACCGCTGATCAACCATGTCACTTTTTTTTGTGCTGAACCCAGATGAAGCCTCAGAATTTGTGTTAGTAATGTTCCAGAAAGTCACTATCAATTAGTCCAACATGAGAGGACATAAAACCTGTTTTTTAATCCCTGGTATAATGATTTAGTTCACAAGATAAAAATTGTGTGGAAAACAATACATATGTTAGAAACCAGCTTTGAATTGGTTGTCATTCACACTCCTAGAGTTTATCAGTAATAGTAATGGCTAATGAGAAACCCTAATAGAGCCGGCATAAGGATACAGCGCTTATTCTTTTGTCAAAACATTGAATTAACAGTAAATATCTATTCTTTTCTTTTGTCCAAAGATTCTGCCCTCTTTGCTGAACTTGGCTATGATGACCTGCAATTGGATGCGGCAAATGAAACTTATGTAAGTATTTATTAGAGGAGAAATGCTGAATGATGTGATATTTAATCTTTAATTATTGCAAGAAGATTTCAGGATAACACGTTTAGGCTAGTTATTTAAGTTTAAATAACTTTTAAGATTAAGTATGAAAGTTAGTAGCCATTTTGTAGTCAGTGAATGTAGGATTGTAGAAATTGCATTGGTCTTGGTATGAGAAGACTTGTATTCTAAGTCTGCCTTTGGCCCCAGGGGTCTTTTTTTGGTTTTTACAGATATTTAGCTGCATAAGGGAAACTGTGATGTTAAGGAGTATGTGTGTCATGGATCTAGTTAAGAGAACTTACCAACTTCCTTTTTTAAAGTTATGTATCCTTAGTGTTGAAAGCTCTGAAACTTAGAAATGTCCTTATTTTTTGCCTTTGGGTGGTTAGAAGTATGCGTAAAAGCTATTATTACAGCACTTTAAGTTCTCAAAAATATTTTACATTTTTTTTTCTTTTCTGGATTAGTATATGTGAAGCTGTTTGGCCTGAACTCTTACTTTGTCTTATTCTTTAATGGGTGAGGTGCTGTTTGACTTGGGAAGTAGTTCAAGTGAACAGAGTGATTTTATATGCATATCAATCAGGTTGAATATTTATCACTTATTTTTTAAGCCCTTATTAAAAATAAAGCTTGCTTAGTGAGTTTAAGACAAAGAAAAAATTTAAAAAATATCATGTGTTTCACTCCCTTCTATTGATTCATGGTAAAACAAGAATAATTTAGCAGTTGTTTTACCATGAATCAATAGAAGGGAGTGAAACACATGATATTTTTTAAAATCAATGCATGAGGTTTTAATGGTTTCATTTACTCTGTGAGATGCTTTACAGTGTTGTCTGTTGATTAAATTGGCTTTTAATATTGGCTGGTTGCTTAAGCAACTGGCATTTTTTCATAACCTCCAGAGCCTAACATCGTCAAGAAACAATATAGTAAATTTGAAAGATTCAGGGAAATATGATCCTGATTTTATAACTAACATTCTGTCACTCAATCTTTCAGTTCCTTAGTTTTTCTGGTATAAAATAAGAGATTGGATTAAATGGTTTCAGACAGCCCATTCTAGCTTTAAAACAGTCATTCTTCTTTCACATGACTGTGCAAGCTTCCCTTGAGAAGTCATTGAAGAACTAGAGTATATAAGTACCAGTATGTTTTGCTTTACATAAAATGGGTCTGTGAAATTTCCAACCAGATAAAATTCTTATGCTGTAAAATGTATTTGACTTTTTTGTCTGAAGATTGAGTATGAAGCATCCTCGAAGTAGGTCATGCCACTGTTGAACATGTTAAAAAGTATTGCGAGCACTCAGGCAAATATCCTTCCTCAGTTTACTTAGATTAAGAAAGTTTGAAGGTTTTTCGTCGCTGAAAGTGTGGGGCTGCTTAATTTTTTGATAGCTAGATTCCAATATGAGAAAAAAGCAAAGGAGATTGATTTAAAAGGTGGTTCTTTCATAATTTAAGTAGTTTTTTCTTTTTTTTTATGTGAACTTTCACACATTCTCTTTATATAATTTGCAATAATATTTACTCAGTTTAGGGCAGTATAAGAAAAGTTTCCCTTCTCTCCTTCTGTTACGTTCTCAATAAAAATAAACCACAGAATAGACATTTGAAATGATAATATTCTAGAAATTATTACCAAATTGTTGTTATTGATAACTAGATTAACCTTTACTTTTTTCCTGAGGCTTGCTTTCTTGCTGTTTTATTATCTGTCACATTAAGTTAATATTGACTACTTTTTAACTTTGTTGTACTGTTTATATATTAAGTTTACTTCTGTTCTTACCTCTGTAACCTTAAACATTTAAAATAGTTGTGGTACTGTCTTAATCTTAAACTCATATGAGGGCTCTGAAATCATGTGGCAGTTCTTCATTAATATATATGGTATAAGATGGTCATCCAGATGACCCAGAATATGATTATATTTAAATTTAAAAATTGTCATCTGAATGAAAAGAAACTAAGAGCCCCTCTAAGAAGTTTACTGACCCCTGTTTGAGAAACTTAGTTTTATCTTCTAGGATTAAAAAAAAATTTAGAAATTTTATTTTAGAAATATGAAAAGTACAGAACAGTAAAAAAAAAAATAAAATTACCCATCCTCCTATGGATCTCTTCCTTCTCCCATAAGCATTTTAATATTTGGTATATTTGAAGTTTCAGTTACAGTCTCTTTATGATTCCTGCATGTCTTTTGGATACATCTATATTCTTTCCCTTGTATATAGAGATGATATTGTAAACAGGCATTTGCTGTGACTTCTTTTCCTTAATGGCAATGGGAAAACTTATTTTGCTGGATCTCCTTTATGACAAAACACATATTTTGTGACTGTTGTAAAGGTCCATTTCCACTGAAAAGAATGAGACCAACTGAATCTTTCAGATAGATGTTGACTTCAATACCTCCTTCCTAGCTGTTACTACTGTGCTTAAAATAACTAAATTGGTTTATCTCTAAGCTATCCAAGATGTATTTTCAAGATGAACTGATTAACTTAGAAAGTTACTTTTACTAAGTTGGGTAATCACAATTATATTATTTATGGCAAATTGCATCTGTTAGTTTGATTTCTGGATGTATATATTTTAATCTTGTAATCTTTTGCTGATTTGAAACCTACAGGAAAATAATTTTGATAATCTTGATTTTGATTTTGATTTGATGCCTTGGGAGACAGGCATTTGGGACATCAACAATCAATTCTGTACAGGTAATGATGTATTTCATTGATAAAACATTTAAATGGGTCCATATTATTTTGTAGTTTGGTAATAGTCAAAATTAGGTGGGGTTACCGGGCCACTTTTGTAGGCCAAAAATTTCCAGGGACTACATTCTATTTTGGTGTAGCAAGGCATACGTAAATTTCTTGCCAAAAATAGATATAAAGAATTTCATAGTTATGTGTTAGTCACATAATGAATAAAAATTTTATTATTCAGAAATATTGATTTTGAATTATATGTAATATTCTGTAAGAGATTAACCTATCTGAGAATTAGACAGAATTTAGGGAATCAAAGGGAAGAAGCTTGGGATTATTAGAACCTAGGAACTTAGTGTAGGGGTCCCGTGTGTACACATCTGAGAAGGAGGCCCTACCTGGCTAATGCTAGTATCTTTAAGGGGCCCAATGAGGTGGGTTTTAGGTGTGCTGAAAAAAGCTGGAACCTGGAGCAAACTGTCCCTTCTGGGATGAAGCTGATGGGAGGATGAAGAAATCCCTTCTTCCCTTCCCTGTCCCCTAGTATCCCCTATAGACAGGACCTAAAAGGAAGCCAGCTGAGATATGTATTAATAATTTGCATCACAGACTATAGAAGGTAGACTTAGAGCTGAGAGACAATGTGTAAATAACCAGCACATTTCCCCATCTAAATTGCAGTCCTCCCCACTGCTGCATTTCCTTTTCCCTTTCATTTTATGTATTTGTATATCTTGCTCAATTCCTGTCTTCCCTCACAGAATAAGAGCTACACAAGGCCAGTGTTCTGGTTCCTACCATTGTGTAACAAACTACTCTAAAACTTAGTGACTTAAAACAATAACCATTTTATTAGGCTCCCAGAATCTGTGGGTTCGGCATTTGGACAGGATGCACCAGGAATTGCTTGTCTCTGCTCCATGGTGTCCAGACCTCATCTGGGAAGATTTGAAGGCTGAGGTAGCTTGACACTGGGGGCTAGAATTACCTTAAGTTTTCTTCACTCACATGTCTGATGCCTGGTCTGGAATGACTTGAAGACTAGGACTGCCAACTTGAGTGCTTACACGTCACCTTCCTATATGGCCTGGCTTCCTCACAGCCTGGTGGTCTCATGGTAGTCAGACTTCAAAGGCTCAAATGTGAGTGTTTCAACACACAAAATAGAAGCTGCATTGCCTAATGTAACACAGCCTTGGGATTCACATAGCATTACTTCCATACTCTGTCAATTGAAGAAGTCATAAGCCCACCTAGATTCAAACAGAGGAGGAAATAGTGGCTACTTCTTGATGGGGAAGTGGCAAAATCACATTATAGATCATGAGATATGGTAGATATTTTGCACCTAACTTTGGAGAACACAGTCTGCCACAGAGATTCTTCTCTTCCCCATTCCTACCCTGTTATAAATTTGACACCTAGGAACACCTAGGCTATAGTTACTCAGCACATTTTAAAAAAATACATAGTTCAAAAGATAGGAACATTTTTGTGTTTTAATTGTATTGTCAAAAATGCTTTCCACAATAATTCTTTCCTGTTTCTTATGTTTTAAAATTATTTTGGGGGGAGTCTATAATTTTGCATATTGCATAATATTCAAAAGGTACAAAAAGTCTGTAGAGTAGAAAAGTGTCTCTTTTGGCTCTTGTCCCTCAGCCACCAAGTTCTGCTTCCCAGAGACAACCACTGTTATCAATTTCTTATGTTCATCCTTCAAGAGAGTTAATGCAGATGCTAGTAGTACAATAGTATACACATGTATAATTTATTACACAAATGGAAGCATACTAGATTTACTATTTTCTGCTCTTGAATTTTCACTTGATGATATATTTTGGTGACCTTAGCTTCTATATCATTGAATTTTAAAAGCAGATTTTACCTTCTTTCTTATTCATTTCGTTCTGAGTTTATATTGTTCAGTGGGAAAATTTTTGCCCCTTGTTTTTCAGTTAAAGATATTAAGGCAGAACCTCAGCCACTTTCTCCAGCCTCCTCAAGTTGTTCAGTCTCATCTCCTCAGTCAGTGGACTCTTATTCTTCGACTCAGCATGTTCCTGTAAGTAACCAGTCTTTTACAGTGATTTTGGTTACAGTGGAATCTGGAAAATATGTATGTGTGGGAGGCAGTTAACATTTATTAAGTGCTAATATAAGTCCTGTTATCTCATTTAATCCTGAGGAAGCTGAATCTTGAGGAATGGCCTTGAGGGAGCTAGAAAGCTGTTAGTCTCTTTGGTTTTGCCCTCCTTCCCTTATGTTCTTGTCTTCATAATTTCATTGTTTCATTGCACCGTACCAGTACCCAATATTTTTTTTGTTTATTGACTTACTGCCTTTTCTCCCTGCTACACTCTTTACTCCCCGTTAGAATATACATTCTTTGAGGACATGGAAGACTGTAAGATGGTCTGTTTCTGTAACTCCTTAGCCATGTAACCTAGAATGGTCTCCTTAGTTCAGGAAAGCCTAGTACTACCTTTTGAATGCGCTAATAAGGTTTTTTACAAAAGCACCTTAAAAATGCTTCTGCTCTTCATCTAGACAAAAGCTCTGAGGCCAGGAAAAGGATGTACCAAAGGGCTTAGGTATTTTTTGGAATAGGAAAAGGAAAAAATACAAGAAGAAAAATTCAAATTACTGTTTCAGTGAATTATATCTGCTGGAAATTGAGGTATCTTCATTCTGGCATAATTTCCATATAGTCAGTTACTAAATCCTGATGATTCTATCCACTTAGTATCTCTAAGATTCATCTTCTCCACACACACCAGGCCATCGTCACCTCATCTGGATTAAGGCAATAGAATTTTGACTGGTCTCTCTGCCTCCTAACTCCCCAAACCTTTCTTAGCAGAGGAATCTTCAAAGAGAAATTTTTCAAAATCACAAATTTGATAGTGCCAGTTTTTTGCTTAAAACCTTCCCAACCCTTACAAGGACAAAATTTAAATTGCCAGTGTACTAGGCCTTCCATGTTCTGGCTCCTGTTTACCTTTCCAGTCTTGTTTCTCACTATCCTTCCTGTTCCTACCTTCACACTCCCCTTAGGTTTAACCCTGAGAGCTTCTGTGTGCTCCAGTCATTCAACAACTGTGCCAGGAACTGTGCCAAACACCGTCCGTGGACAAGAGCAGCGAGATCTCTGCTCTTACCATTTTAGGTTTTTGTACATGCTCTTCCTTCTGCCTGAAATAGCCTCATTTTCTTTCTTCTTTGAAAACTCCTATTCATCCTTAAGTCCCAGTTCAAAAATTACTTTCTCTATGAAGCTTTTCTCTGATTGCCGCTCTTGGCAGTCCTCTGTGGTCCCACAGTTTCTCCAATGATTTAATTTTAAAAACTTAATTTACTTTTGAAGTCAAAAGTATTAATATATAACAAGGTATATTCACAGAAGCCTGAGTTCTGTCCTACTCTTTCCTTTCCATCCTTTCTTACACAAAAGGTAGCATACTACATACCCTGCTCTGCACCTTGCTTATTTAACTTAGAGGTAACTCCAATTTCAGGATATAGAATCATTCTCATTCCCTTTTATGGCTGCATAGTGTTCCACTGTGTGACTATATTATACTTTATTCAGTGATTTCCTTGTTGATGAACATTTGTGTTGTTTTTGGTCTTTTCTGGACTCAAACAATGCTGTAATAACTATGTACATAAGTCACTTCATATTTTTGCCAGGATATCTTGGCAAAGATATCCGGTTATACTCCTAAAGAGAGATTGCTGAGATCGGGGTGAATACTTTTTTAATGTTACTGTTTATTGCCAGATTTCCCTCCACAGGTTGCACGGTTGTGTATTCTGACCAGCAGTATGTAAGAGGGCCAGTTTTCCCTTCATCATTACACAGCATGTTTTGTTTTCTGTTTCTTTTATTATAAGTGTGGTTAAACATCTTTTTGTATATTTCATATGTCTAAGGCCTATTTGCATTTCTTTTTATGAACAGTTCAAATTTTTGTCCACTTTTCTATTGGATTGTATTGGTCTTTTTCTCTTCAATTTTTAAAGTGTTTTATTACATATTAGGATTATTAGTGTTTAGTTTGTGAAATAAGTTACAAGTGTTTTTCTCCGATTTGTCATTTGTCTTTAAGCTTTATTTTTGGTGTTTATTTTCTCCATAGCTGAATTATCAATCTTTTATTGCTTTTTGTTGTTGTTACTCAAAGGAGGGTTTTCACCACTCATAGGATATAATATTTTTATTCTTGTTTTCTTGCTTATATTAACTTTTTGTTTTGAAAAACCTTAAACTTATAGAAATATTACAAGTACATTACAAAGAACTTTTTTTTCCCTCAACCATTTGAGAGTAAGTTGCCAACTTGATGCCTTGTCACCCCCAAATACTTCAGTGTCTACTTCCTACAAGCAAGGATATGTCTTCTAGCCACAATAAAACCATTAAAATCAGGAAATAAATGTTTATACCATACTATCATCTAATCTTCAATTCCCATTTAGATTGCACCAGCTGTCCCAAAGATGTCCTTTAGTGAGCGGAAGGATCTAGTTTAGAATCACGCATTGCATTTGATTGTCTTGTCTCTTTAATCTCCTTCAGTTGAAACAGTTCATTCTTCCTTGACATTCATGACCTTGTCACTTTTGGAGATTAAAGACTAATTATTTTGTAGAATGTCCCTCAGTTGGGTTTGTCTGATGTTTCTTCAGGATGAGATTCAGGTTTTGTATTTGTGGCAGGAATATCACAGAAGTGATGCTGTGTCTGTCTCATTTACTTCTGATGTGATGGCACACAATTTTTATTTGTCCTGTTACTGATGAGGTTCACTTTGTTCATTTGATTAAGGTGGTGTCTGCCAGGCTATTCCACTGTGAAGTTGCTCTTTCTTCCTTTGCCCAAAATAAGTATTTTATGAGGAGGTACTTTAAAACTCTGTAAAAATAACCTGTTTCTCATCAGACTTTAAATTTATTCATTTATTTGTTTATATCAGTATGGACTCATGGTTTCCTAGTTTATTCAACAGATTATAACCCATTACTATAATTATTTATTCTGATTCTTATGTTATCCTGGATTTGGCCAGTGCAGGTCCCTTCACACCGACTCCTGTGTTCTGGGCGTTGACACCTGCATCAAGCTGACCCAATATGAGCAGGGTAATCTGCTCTGACTCCCTGTGCTGGGCTGCCTGCCCCTACCTCCTCTCCTTAGGCTCCGATACTCCACCAGCCTGCCTCTCTGCATGGATGCTGGTCTTGCACTGCTCCATCTAGTGGCCTTAGGATCAAATTATTCAGGAAGTAATAGTTTCTAAGTGACTGTTAATACATATTTTTCATAAGGTTTTATTTTAAATATTTAGATCTCTGATCCATTTGGAGTTATCTTGGTTTATGATGTGAAATATGAATCCAAGTTTTTTGTTTTCCCAAATGACTATCAGAAGGATTGTTCCAGTACCATTTATTAAATCAATTCGTTTTTTAAAAAATGAATTTTATTTATTTATTTATTTTTGGCTGTGTTGAGTCTTAGGTGCTGCGCACAGGCTTTCTCTAGTTGTGGCGAGCAGGGGCTACTCTTCGTTGCGGTGCGCAGGCTTCTCATTGCGGTGGCTTCTCTTGTTGCGGAGCATGGGCTCTAGGCGCACGGTCTTCAGTAGTTGTGGCATGCAAGCTCAGTAGTTGCGGCTTATGGACTCTAGAGCGCAGGCTCAGTAGCAGTGGCGTATGGGCTTAGTTGCTCCGTGGCATGTGGGATCTTCCCGGATCAGGGCTTGAACCCGTGTCCCCGGCATTGGCAGGTGGATTCTTTTTTTTTTTTTTGCGGTACGCGGGTCTCTCAGTGTTGTGGCCTCTCCCGTTGCGGAGCACAGGCTCCAGAGGCGCAGGCTCAGCAGCCATGGCTCACGGGCCCAGCCGCTCCGTGGCATGTGGGATCTTCCTGGACCGGGGCACAAACCCGTGTCCCCTGCATCGGCAGGCGGACTCTCAACCACTGAGCCACCATGGAAGCCCTCTAAGTGATTATTAATACAGTATTTTCATAGTGAAAATTTTGTTAGTTGGTTCTTAAATGTGTTCCAAGTAGACAGCATATCACCTTGAAAACAAAGGCGCTTCTGTTTCTTCTATTTTAGTATTTATTCCTTTTATTTCATTTTCTAGTATAATTATGTCTGCTAGAATTACAGAAAAAGCAATTATTTCTTTCTTGTCCTGACTTTAATGGCAAAGCATTTAGTATTTTACCATTAAGTATGACTTTGGCTATACAATTATGCATAGCTTTTTTTTTTTAATGTTAAGAAAATGTCCCTCCAGTCCTTATTTTTTAGAACTTTTATGAGGAATCTCTGCTGAATTTTATCAGATGCATTGTAAGCATCTAAGGCTATGAAGATAATCATTTCCTCCTGTGTTATCTCATAGTCTTTGTTTTTTTTCCAAATATATTATTGTTATAATATACTCTGTAAGGTTCATACAGCCCCGCTTATGGCTACATGCTGAATAGGTGTTGAGGGTGAATGAATGAAACAATTCTCATTCTCACCAGCATTACTGAGAATGACCATTTCTTCCATATGCTCTTTCAGGTCATTTTAACTTTTTCTTATCTGATGATTTAAAAAAAAAAGATTTTCTTTTAAATTTGCCTTTGGATACTATTTGCATTTCCTTTTCAATGAAATGGTGGTTTCTTTCCTTTATCCATTTTTGGCAAATATTTTCTCCCCATATGTGTCTTTTAACTTTGTTTATGTTCTGTTTTTTTCTTATAAAATACTTTAATTATTATTTGTTCAAATCTATTTCTTCTTCCTTTATGGCTTCTGGCTTTTTTGAGGTAAGGGAGCCTACATCATGCTGAGAGTAAACAAGTATTCTCTTAATTCTTCTTTCAGTAATCTTATAGATTCTTTTGAAGATGGTATGATGTATGTATTTACGTACTTGTGCCCATTCCATTATTATACATAACATCTTTTTCTCTTGGAATTGAAATGCTACTTTTATCCTATGTTAAGCTTCTTTATTCTAACAAAATGAGACAGATCCACTGAATATTAAAAGACTTTTAGAAAATATTAATATTTATATATCTGTATTTAAAAAAATATTTATTTATTATTATTTTTAAAAATATTTTTGTATATTGCATCGGGTCTTAGTTGTGGCACACAGGGTCTTCATTGAGGCATGCGGGATCTTTCATTGTGGCGCGAGGGCTCTTTGTTGCCGCGCGCGGGCTTCTTTCTAGTTGTGGCGCGCAGGGTCCAGGGTGTGTGGGCTCTGTAGTTGTGGCACCCAGGTTCCAGAGCGTGTGGGCTCTGTAGTTTGCAGCACACAGGCTCACTAGTTGAGGCGTGTAATCTTAGTAGTTGTGGCGCGTGGGCTTAGTTGCCCTGCAGCGTGTGGGATGTTAGTTCCCCGACCAGGGATCGAACCCATGTCCCCTGCTTTGTAAGGCGGATTCTTTACCACTGGACCACCAGGGAAGTCCCTCTGTATTATTAGTTTACCCATTAAATAAAATAAAATAGCCCTGCTCCTTTCAGTGTTTTTCTTTCAAAACATTCGGGACAAAGGCAGTGTTAAGAAATAGAAAAGGTTACAAATAGTGAGAATTATTTGCTTTTGAGATTCCTGTAAGACAGAATAAGAGATGGTGGGGGAAAGATATTAGCATTTTAACTGTAACTCTATAATGATACTAAATGTTTGTATGACTAGGAACAAGTAAAATATAAAGTTTGTGGGAGAAAATGTAGAAGCAGATCAGATCAGTGATTCATATCTTTCATATAAGAGGATGAAATAGACATACTTCATTTTTAGTTATTTTTCCTTTAGTATAGATGGATAATGTTGATTTATCCATCATCTCTTAGTACTTCATATATAGATATAGCTCTAATATATCACACCTTTGCCTTGAAGTTATCTTGAAGTGTTTCTGTTTATATATAGATCTTGCCTCTCTTTCTAAGCAATTTTCTGCTCAAGGATAGTATTCTTCTGCATGAATTTGTTTGTGTTTTATTTTGCTACAGGAGGAGTTGGATTTGTCTTCTACTTCCCAGATGTCTCCCTTTTCCTTATATGGTGAAAGCTTTAATAGTCCCTCCTCAGCAGAGCCACTGAAGGAAGACAAGCCCATCATTAGTCCTAAGAGCAAAACTGGTATTACTCCATCTCCTAACTTCTGTTATCTCTATTTTAGACTGAGCTTAGGCTCCATTTCTTAAAAGAAAATGTTGGATTAAGTGTATGTTTATTAAGCTGGCTTGCTGTTTTTAAATTAGTGGACCTGTTTTGTTTGTTGTGGATGATTAATGTGGAGAGGAAAGGGAAGAAATAATCTTCATTGGTTGTTTTTGTCTTTATAGGTGAATGATACTTTAAATAGATTTAGGGCCCCACCATCTTCAGGAGAAATTTCAAAGTTTCAGTTAAAGATATTGAACGTGAGGGCCATTTGGCTGTGACATTTGTTAACCTTATTCACCTTGATGCTTTATTCAGGGGTTTTAGCTATTCTTCTTTACTGGTTCACGTGTCCCTTTGGCAAAGCTGCAGCTTGGTCAAAAAGGAAGACCTCAGATTGAGGACTTTTCTTCAGTCCATTAAGATATAGAGTGGCTATGCTTAAACTTCAGTAAGGGTAGTCAGAGGTCAAGAAAATGTTTAGGGAAAGGTGTATAATAGAATCTGCTTTCTAGGATTTGCTTAATTGCCCTTAAACTGATTTGTGGTTTGTTTGGTTTTTCTCCAGAAAATGGACTGACTCCAAAGAAAAAAATTCAGATGAGTTCAAAACCTTCAATTCAGCCCAAGCCTTTATTACTTCCAGCAGCACCCAAGACTCAAACAAACCCCAGCGTTCCAGCAAAAACCATCATTATTCAAACACTGCCAACACTTATGCCATTGGCGAAGCAGCAGCCAATTATCAGTATACATCCTGCACCCACTAAAGGTACCTGAATGGAATTTGAGGCTGTGTATGTTTAATTGGAGGGCACTGAGGCTTGTGTCATATGACTTGTTTTAATTCAGGGTATAATTTCTGAGCACATGCTGTGTGTCAAGAATTGTCCTTGGTTCTGAGGATGTTGTAGAGATGTGGTTCCTATCCTAACAAGGGAGATAGCTATCAAGATTATTTACATCTGATAGTTCTTTTTTCTCACAGTTTTAATTATGAAGGCGCCTGTCTCTAAGGCTTGTGGTTTTATATAACCACTTGTAACGAAGAAGAAAATCTGGGAAACTTTTTTGGTGCCATTTTATTCTGAGATTTTTGTGTCCATGAACTTTTTTGTTTTTAAGGAGAAGTCAGTATTTAAAATAATGTGGTCCATTTCAGGTCTAATAGGTGTGTTTTGGCGATAGAGTCAGATAATCTCTGAGGAGGCAGCGCTGTTTAGTAACATGATCTTGTATGGGGCATTAAGAAGAAACCTGAAACTGTCTTCAAGTAGCTAAGAATGTGTGTTTCTATATTTTGTCCACTAGATGGCCTCCCATAGTTGATTCTGCAAGAAGCTGAGGTCTGTAGTGAAAGTTCAAGTTTGAGGATTTGGTACTATTCAGATATAGGAATCATTTGCACATAGAGATCTCTTGGGAAGATTATTCATCATTGTACTTATACTGATATGTGTACACATGACTAAATGGAAACTTGCACAGCGTTCTTTCCCTGGATTTAGCTTGTTGGCACCAAGTAGGACTGGGGTCAATGGGGAATGGGTTGTAAATAAATACCCAGTGTTACACTTAAGGCTGTATTTCCAGCTATGGATTGTTAGCTCATTTCTTTGGAGCATGGTTTTAATGAGGGCAACGTCATAAATTTGATTTCCAGGTACTCTGTTATCTTTGTTCTGTTCCATGGTCATAGACAATATGACATTGATAAAAAGAACTAGGTGAGAGACTGGATGGATCTGTGAAAATCCACCAATCCCTACCAAAAAAACTCCAACCAAACAAGCCTGAAATACCTGCCCTCTTAGGACAGGGTGAAAACTACTGCCTTTTTCCTGTGAAAAATAGCAGTCCTGTAGAATGGGTATTCTTGTGGCCTGTGAATGGATGTTAAGTGTTCATAAACCCCTTGAAATAAAATGCAAGATTTAGTGTATGTTATTTGTGGATTTTTCTAGGGATAGTCTCCAAAACTTTCATCAGGATGTCAAAAGGGTCTGTGTTTTCCCAAAGGCTGAGAATCTAAACTTGTGAAGAACTTCATTATATAGTTCCCATAAGCTGTTAAAACACATGTATAAAAAGTAAAAGTTTGATATTAATATGACCAGTATGTAAAGCAAGGGGTATTCGTAAGAATTTGCTCTTAGCAGACCATTGGCTATGTTTGAATGATAGAAGTTCCTACCTATAGCAAGAAGAGAAACTTCTCTGAGCAGTTTATCAGTTTTAGAAACCTGAATCATACATTATTCAGAACTTCAGTGCTTTCCCATTATCTGAAGACAGTTTTATTTTGGGGGAGCATATGCTAATATAGGGCACTTGCCTGTTTTTATAGTACAGTCTGGAGAGGTATATTGTAATAACATATAGATTTAAGTGTATATCTTCCATTTATTTGAAAATGGGGAGGGAAGAAGAGAAATATAGGAAAGGCATTTTACAGTTAATCGATATAAGTATCAGAAGTAAATATTTTGCCATTAAAAAAGAAGTAATTCTTACAGGATTAAGTTCAAATTCTCTGGCTTGGAATGTAAAACCCTTCATGGTTTGGCTCCAGTTTAGTTTTCTAACTTTACCTTATAATAACTCTCCTTTCTATAAATCTTTTAGTTCAACTTATCTGGCCATTGTCCCTTAAATTTTCTTTTTTTTCCTCGTTTCTTGACATGCCATTCTATCTGCCTGAAACAGCTTCTGCCTACTTCTACATCTAAGTCCTATACATCCATTAAGACTTGCACGAGTAGTGCAGGTGAGAGATGATGAAAGCCTGGAATATCAATGAGAATGAAGAGCCAGGATAGACAGTAGAGATGTTAAAAAGTGTAGAATCACAGGGCTTGGTAATTAGGTCATGTGAAAGGGGGATGGAGGATAGAGAGGAAGGTATCCTGTCTTGGACTTTTTGGGTAGATAGTGGTAACAAATCATTGAAATGGAGGATAGAGGTAAAATAACTTGTTCTAGGTCATTCTACTAGTGAGCAGTAGGGTCAGAACTTGAGCCCAGGTGGTCTGGCTCAGTCTGTGTAATTAATCACTATAGTATATTGCCTCTAAAAGAATACAGAGATGTGGTATTTGATCTCAAGAATTCTATCTAATTGGGGAGTTAACAAATTTATATCAACAGTTAAATAACAGTAACTGTGAGAACTAATGACTTGATAATACATGCAATACCCTTATAGAAGCTATTATTATACATAAAAGGAGGTTAATAGTAATTAATAATAATAAAAATAATTAATACTAGCTAACATTTAAGCTCTTATTACGTGCCAGACACTGTTCTAAGTGCTTAAGTGCGTTATCTTATTGAATCCTTACATCAACTCTGTGAGGATAGGTACTATTATTATCATCTCCATTTTATAGATGAGAAAATTAATACACAGAGAAATTTACTGTCACACAGCCATACTATTTTAGACAAAGCAGGCATTCAGTAACTGTTTGATATAAAGTTTGAAGTCTTTGAGGGTAACTGGAAGGAAGAAACTGACTATCACTATCAGTGAGTCATACATAGTCAAAAGTATCCAGCATTGAAACCAGCCGTGGTCCATTAAGGGGGATTTGTGTGTAATGCCAAAGAGGGTTTTGAGCATGCTGAAATGGATAAACAGCCTTTTGGTATGTCCTTTTTAACTGCTTCCACACTAGGAACAGTAGTAACTATGTTCAGCTGCTAACTATTTAAGACCCGAAACAGTCCCTTGCACTGCATTCTGTGAGCTGGTGGGCATCTAGCATGTCAGGTTTAGCAAGTCACCTTGAACACATTGTCATGGAAATTTAGTTGTTTCTCCACATTTTGTCTTGAACCCAAACATGCCTAGTATATTTATAGGATCTTTGATTTAGGTGCTCAGTAATTTGAGGTTAGTTAGGCACTCTGGGATGAAAGGGCCTGATGTGCATTTTGGAAAAAAAAGGAGGCATCAGTGGCCTGGTAGGACTTGGAGCCACATTTGGTACGCAGACCTTGACTTGATATTGCTCCATCTCCCTCGCTCCGTGTTGCAGTTCTTTCAGCAACGAGGTGGTGATAACCAGACACTGGATACTACAGACTTGGATTATTTTTCTCAATTAGTTTTAAGAAATATTACAAAGCTATCTTTATGTGTTAACTGCTAATGCTTTAAATCGGTAACTGGAGCTAGAAGTAGGATCCTTTCCTTGAAATGACTTAATTCTTTATGTTTACCACCTTCTCTGTTCTTTGGAATAATCCCACAATTCATTGAACATTTTTTAGTTTTTTAGGGTCTTTTTATCATAATTTTTAAACTCAAGATATGGAACACTACTTCTGATAATGCTCTTCTCAAAGTATTGGTTTAAGTCAGTGGTTCTCAACCTGTAGACAGTGGGCCCTGAGATACGTGTGGTTGGAGTAGTAGTAACCTTTGGCTTTTGCAGGGCATCTGCAAATCCATATTTTCTGTAGACTGAATAAATAATTTGTTTCATATATCTTTGTACTGATGTACAAAGAAGTTATACTTCTGATTACTCAACTCCAAATTCATTTAAAATCATTACTAAATTCTTAATAGCCTTTTCTCATCACATATTTTCTCAATCCACAGAAGCTGAAAGGACAGCCATGATCATCTTGGGTGACCATGATATTTTTGCTATTAAAGAAGGGTCTTTATATTCAGGGTGGGAACCCTTGGTTTAAGTTTTACATTCTGATGAGTATGTCTTTTCATAGTACCAGATTGACTGTAATATCTCAATAAGTGTAATTAAAAAACTTAACATTTACTTACATAATAAATAATATTACATAATATAATATTACATAATATTACATAATATTACGTAATATTATATAATATTACGTAATATTATATTACATAATAATAAATAAATATGCTATTTATTTTACTTATAAATTTTCTTTTTTGGCCGCGCTACATGGCTTACGGGATCTTAGTTCCCTGACAAGGGATTGAACCCGGGCCCTCAGCACTGAAAGCGCAGAGTCCTAACTACTGGACTGCCAGGGAATTCCCTGTTAATTATTTTTATTTGAATATTTGGCATAAGCAAATATATATCTGCTTATGAGCTATTTCCGTATTTTATGTTTTCATTTCATAAAATAAATTATGCCACGGGAAAATTAGAAGATAAAAATATTTAGTGATCATTTACGCTCAAGCAAACTGTATATATTACAAACCTGTGAGATTATTTTTAGGTCTTTCTTACTAATTTACCTGGGATAAAATGCTATGAATTAAATTCTAGTTTTTGTATGCTTTCTGAGGCCTTCTGAAACATAAAGACTTTGATTTTATACAAGTGATTTTTTTTAAGCTAAGACAGATGTTCTTAACAAACAGGTGTTCTGAAGCGTCATTTTGATTTTTAGTTTTCCTTGATCCTTTGAAATACTGAGCTGAGTTTTACATGGATCATGTTACACTGTCTGAAAGTATAGTATGTTTTTTTTCCCTTAAAGAAGAGTATAAATATACTATATGAAATTTTAGTTGCCAGTTACTTTAGTACCTTTATTTTGCTAAATGGGCTCAAGCAGCTGTGGATGTTAGGTGAGGCTTTCAACACCTTATAAAATTGGCCAGATCTGAAAGCAAATACTCAGCAGGCAAGTAAAAATTTTCATAGACCAGTGTTATGAGTTGTATGAGCCTTCTTTAGGTTAATGATACTAATTTTCCTCAGATTAGTGTAATTTTAAAATAAGGTTAAATGTAAAGATTAAGAAAAGATTTGTAGACCATTTTGGTGGGTAGGGGAGTCAATATTATCGGCAGACTATTTTAAATTACAGGTTTACGTTTCCCGTGTTAGCTAAGTGGTTTTAACATTTTTGATATTTGTAGCCTCAGGTTCTTCCAGGTATTGAGTTACTGAATCTCTGTCATATATTTTTGGTGTTATATGTATTTCTAAATCCCATTAATTTAAAATATATGATTCTATGTTCAGAATAGAAGGTTTGATATTTGTAATATGATAAATACTTTTAGCACTAATAAATTTCAGAGGTTAATACTTAGAGAAACCTATGTATAACTTAGCAAATTTGATGTGTGTTAGCTGAAAAAAAGTGTGGAAATACGTTAATGATAACTTCAAAGAGAATGAATTTAGTCGGTTTCATTAAAAACACAACAAAAGTCAGTATGAATGTGTGCTGCTATTGATGTGTTTTAATTGGAGGTTTCAAATCCCTCCGTTTGGTCTTACCTGTTATATCTGCAGAAGAGACCTAAATGTTGAATAGCTTCTCCTGCCACAGTAGTTATGCACCCTCTGATTCCTTTTCTTTTTTCTCTGCTGCAGGTCAGACGGTGGTGCTCTCTCAGCCTACCATGGTACAACTCCAGGCACCTGGAGTTCTGTCGCCTCCTCAACCAGTCCTTGCCGTCACTGGGGCAGCCACACATCTACCTAATCACGTGGTGAACGTGGTACCAGCCCCAGTGGCAAATAGCCCAGTGAATGGAAAGCTTTCTGTGACTAAACCTGTCCTACAAAGTACCATGAGAAGTGTGGGTTCAGATGTAAGTTTTGAAGCTTAGTGCTTTTTTAATGCCTGATTTAAAAAATGAAAACAAAAAAAAAGAACGAAACACTTCTTTGTTTTTTAAAGTTTGTTATATTGTGTCAAATGTGCTGAAATTGCAGATCCAGTCTTTGGTGGAAAATTAGGGTAAGGCTTATTATGTTAGAACCTAAGTGAAAAGGTTTAAAAAAAGTCTGAAGTGGTTTGACGAAAAGAGAAGTATGCATACCTCCCTCTTCTTTAATTCCTTCCTTTGAACCTTTTCATCACATTCCTCCAGACTGTCACCCCCAACTCAATCATACACTAGTATTTTACAGGATTCTTTCATGTTTCCTGATTGAAATGTTTTTGGCAACTCCCCAGATAAGAGTCTGTAGACTGCTTTTTAGTCAGGGTTTATATTTATCTTCTCTCTTGACTTATTGAAGGGTTTTCACCACTGCTTAACTACAACTTGCTATTCTTAGGAATTCTGTTTCTTAATGATTATTTAGTTTTTCCCCATCTTTGCAAAACTTCAAAATTTCTGTTGTAGGGACTTCTTGTAATTTATGAATCACAGAAAGTTTCCTAAGATCTGTCACAATCTAGAACTGGTTATAGTACTTACCAGCTAACTCTTGCTTTCTTTAAAAGTGATACAAAATACCTCATGTAATGTATTAAATAGTAGTTGAACGTTATGGTCCTAAAGTTCAATGAAAGTTAAATAATCAGTCTAAAAGTGGGTCCTCTAAAATTGTGGTTGTTAATATTGCTACTCCACCATTTCTTTAGGTATTGCAAAGTACCTTTAAAATCCTGTGAGTTATGTAAGGTTGTTCATCATACTACTGACTCACCTGTCTACCAGAATTATTAACTAGCACGTCATTAGCCCATTTAGTTGTGAAACTGCTCTACTGTTGCATAAACACAACCAAGTAATCTCCATCAGAAATACTGTAAGGACCCATAACAAAAGAATATTATCTACTGGAAGTAGAACATCGAAGTTCTATAGTAATTCCCACAGTTTACATAGGTATTGAAAACAGTGTGTGCCAAAACATGAAGGAGGAACATTAGTGTCACATGAGAACAGACATGGATAGTACAGGATTAAGCTTGACTATTATGTTAGTTTATTTTGAGGACTAAAAAAGGTAAGCGCAGTGCTTATGGCGTAATAGGCACTAATGCATAGTGTGTGTTGCAGTTGAAGGTGAAATGATATGAAGCTGGGATTTGCTTTAAAATACTCTATGGGGAGATGATGAGCGCAGGATAGAGGAAACATGATTGGCAAAAAGTTGGTAATTATTTAAGTTGGGTATGTAATCTTTCTTTCCTTTTGGTGTTTGGTAAATTTTCTACAATAAGTATATGAAAAACAATAACAAAGATCTAAAAATACTTCATGATATTTTCAATTAAAAAGTTGTACAACCAATAAAAAAAAGAGTATGTTTTTCACAGGAGACTGAGGAAGTTAAGAATGATGAAAGAGGATTTTTTTTAAAAAAATTCATTTATTTTATTTATTTATTTTTGGCTGAGTTGGGTTTTTGTTGCTGCGCGTGGGCTTTCTCTGGTTGCGGTGAGCGGGGGCTACTCTTCGTTGCGGTCGTGCAGGCTTCTCATTGCAGTGGCTTCTCTTGTTGTGGAGCACGGGCTCTAGGCACGCGGGCTTCAGTAGTTGAGGCACGTGGGCTCTAGAGTGCAGGTTCAGTAGTTGTGGCGCACGGGCTTAGCTACTCTGTGGCATGTGGGATCTTCCTGGACCAGGGCTCGAACCCGTGTCCATTGCATTGGCAGGTGGATTCTTAACTACTGCACCACCAGGGAAGCCCTTTCATTTCTTATTTTGTTTATTTGGGTCCTCTCTCTTTTCTTCTAGGTGAGCCTGGCTAGAGGTTTGTCCATTTAATCTTTTCAGAAAACCAGCTCTTGTTTTTATTGATGTTTTCTGTTATTTTTTGATCTCTATTTTATTTATTTCCTCTCTGATCTTTATTACTTCCTTCCTTCTGCTGGCTTTGGGTTTTGTTTGTTCTTTTTTTCCAAATCCTTTAGGTGGCAGGTTAGGTTGTTTTGAGATTTTTATTGTTTCTTGAGGAAGGCCTGTATCACTATGAACTTCCCTTCTAGAACTGTATTCGCTACATCCCACAGATTTTGGAAAGCTATGTTTTCATTTTCATTTGTCTTGAGGTATTTTCTGATTTCTTCTTTGATTCATTGTTGACCCATTGTTTTTTTAGTAGCATGTTGTTTAGTCTCCATGTGTTTGTTCTTTTCCCATTTTTCTTTCTGTGGTTGATTTCTAGTTTCATACCTTTGTGGTCAAATAAGATGCTTGAAATAGTTTCTGTCCTGAAGGATTTTTAAAATGATCCCTTAAAATTTTCTTTTAATACTCTTTAAATTGAGAATTTGAATGTTTCTTCTATAATATTCCCAAATAGAACTTGCAATAGAAAATATTCAAAGTTGTCTTTTTTTAAAAAATTAATTTATTTATGGCTGTGTTGGGTCTTCGTTTCTGTGCGAGGGCTTTCTCTAGTTGTGGCAAGCGGGGGCCACTCTTCATCTCAGTGCGTGGGCCTCTCACTATCGCAGCCTCTCTTGTTGCGGACCACAGGCTCCAGACGCGCAGGCTCAATAATTGTGGCTCACGGGCCCAGTTGCTCCGCAGCATGTGGGATCCTCCCAGACCAGGGTGCGAACCCACGTCCCCTGCATTGGCAGGCAGACTCCCAACCACTGCGCCACCAGGGAAGCCCCAAAGTTGTCTTTATGTAATTTGTTTAGACATTTAAAATATGTATTATGAAATACTTTAGACATGAAAAACGTAATGACTAATTAGATATTTTAAAAATATAAACAGTATATCACAGTTGTTAAAAATATTAATATATTTTTAGTCTACATTCATAGAATTATGACATTTAATCACTGGACAGTCCAGAGGAACATAGCTAGGATGGGGAGGAGGTCTAGAAACCATGTCATGGGGAGAGGAAGGGTTTAAGGGTTGGTATGATTCAGTAAGGTGAAGGAGAGAAGACTGAAAATAGAGCTATCTTCTAGGAAATGAAGGTTGTCATGTGGAAAATAGGATAATTGTTCTGGGTTATTTCAGAGGACTCATCTAGAACAGGTTCAGGTAAGTTATAGAAAAGTTTCTTCTAATTCTAAAATTCTTTGATATAGTAATTGTATTTAAAAACCAGAAGAGGTCTTTTTTTTTCTAGGCTTAATATCTGAATAGTGAGCATCTTAATGTTGGCAATCATTGTATGTCACTGACCCATTTTGTAATCTCTAAACATTTCTATTAATTATTTGTTGGTCTTTTAGCCAGACATCCTTTAGAAGTTCTTTGGTGAGAAAGACTATGTCTGTTCCGCTTTTGCACTCTTAAGAGTGCTCTGTAAATTTGGTGAATAATTTACTGATGTAACTTTGGTGAATAATTCAGTCAACATTGAAGAACTGGGGGCTGTGTGAGATGAGAAAGTATAGAACCAACAAGTATTAGCTTTTTTTTTAAGCATTATTTATTGACTAGCATTCTTACTACTTTTCAAAATTTAGAGTTGACAGTAATACACAAGAAAGATTCAAGTACTGTGTGTCTGGTGCAAGAGACCAAAAGACGATTAGAATAAAGTTTCCGGTCAACCTGCACGGAGGTTTTTTTTGCTTATTTTTCCTTGGCTAGCACATCAGGAAGTGAGCCAAGCCTTTTCAGTGTGAGTTTTCTGGTAGAGGTTTTGACTTAATGTTTATTTCAAGTAAAGAAACACCAGTCTGTCCTATCTGCTGGCCAAGCCATTCAGGAACCCAGAGTAAATCTGTTCCAGAAGGAGCTGCAGAAAACTTTGATCTGCTCATGTATATAGTCTTCTGTGACCTCAATAGTGCATGTGTTTGTTAGACTCAAGTCCTGTTAAATTAGGATAAATTTGAGTTAGTATAAATTTCTGGTTTAAAATGGCCAAAATGAAAAAGTTTTCAAGTGTTTTTTTTTGTTTTTAAACCAAAGGTCTGGTGAAAAAGTTGTAATTCAGCACCAAAAAAAAAAAAAACGTGCATCAGTCTTTTGTGGCTTTGTATTGCTGACATGGCTTCTTTTTTTCTACCTTTTTTGTTCTTTTGTTTGGCTAGTTTCACTCTCTAGAGGCCTGCTACTGCCATAAAGTAGCGTTTTTAGCATACCATATTCTGCAAACTACATTAAGTGCCACATTTTCTGTTATGAAACAGTTTGCCTGGTTCAAATTATAATCTCACTCTTTCTGCCTTTTGCTGGTAAATCTGTTCTGTTTAACTCTTGGAAACCTCATCTAAGTTTTCAAGAAGTATGGTTGGTTTTTGGCTGTGATCCTGATGGAAAAAATGAACATGGTCTCTTATTTCAGTGTAGACATTCTCTTAAGCAGTTTCTTAGTAAATGGTAATCTTGGAACTACAAAGATGCCTTCATGGGAAAGCATGCTTATCTTTCTTTAAAGTGCTATTGAATGTGACCAAACATCAAACCAAGGGCTTGGAAACAGCAGTCTGTTTAAATCTGCATTTAGTACTTCCGCCTACCCCTTATAATTCCATAAAGTTCATGAGACATTACGGCCCTGGTTTTAAGGCTGTGGAGCTACATTGTTCTGGTGATTGGGACAACAGCAGGAAAAAAAAGTGGTGAAATTCTATTCTACATGTCCCATAGTGGGTCAACGTGGAGCAAAAACCCTTAATAGAAATCAGTTGGTGGGAACAATGGAAAGAAAATGATCAGGAGCTAGGTCAGAACTAGAAATAACATCAGATAGGAGGCTGATGAAGGGGTACAGCCTATACTGACAGGAGGCCCAGGTCTTCCTCTCAGCCCATTCACTCTGCTGAGCATCTTCCAGACCCTTTATTACCTTGGACCCTCTGTCTAATTCTTTACTTAGTGACCTGACCTCTTCCATCCCAGTCCCTATCCTTTGGAAGTCCCTGCCCTGG